ACACCTTTACATGCTTGTTCGGAGTTTAATTCATCATAATCCCGTGCATTAGTTGTAGTAAGTCATGTCCATTCCGTCGTTGGTCGAACTAGGTGTTGTCTTTGCTTCAAGCCACTGTAAAAAATGCAGACATGGAAACACAACAGTTAGAAACTCCCCATGCGAACACCAAGTGCACACATAAAACGACATCTTAGTTACATAACTATCTTGCGAAGTGCATATTTCAAGCCAGCATATTATTATGTTTGCTGACTTTTTCGGAGCACTTCTTTAAGCGTGAAGGCGTGATGTAGCAATGTTCTATTAGTTCGAGTTCTCCCATAGTAAGCCTTCACTCACAGACAAAGATGAATGCTCCGTGCTTCTTACCAGACTAAGACAATCTGTGAACTGGTCTTCCCATAAAAATATCTTCACGCAGATACCAAATATCTAGGCAAAAGGGAGGCATTCATCAAAGGTTGTTAGGTAATCATCTCGCATAAAGACTTACCAGTGGCTAGTCAAATCCTCCATTGAGGTTAAGTGCGAGTTTCCTATTCTGCAAAGCTGCGGGGTTTACACAAGCCAAGGTCGAATGAACTATTGACACAACAAAAGGCTCGAGATATAAATTGAAATTCTCAACCCCATGAGAGTACCTTAAGCTTCTAGCCCTTCTAGATTGTCGCTGGAACATATATATATATATATATATATATATAAATATATACATACAAGTAAGTATGTACGTATGTATGTGTACACACACACATATATATATATATATATATAATACATACACATGCATACATCTCTCTCTCTCTCTTGTTCTTTCGCAAAAGTTGGGAGCAGGGGAACTGCCCCTACAATTGCGGGAGGGAGGAGTGACAAAGACTTTAGAGGCAAACCGTGACCTTCCGGCAGACTTCCCAGTAGCAAATAATTGCACCACGAAAGTAGGATAACCTAGACCTAAGCCTCAGACTAGCATTCAATTTGATTGCACGGAGGGGCATATCCCCTACCGCATGAATACGGCTGGGTTGTGCTTCTGCAACAAGCTTCGGCAAAGCTGACGGCTCACATCGATGTTCTCACTCAAGTTATGACTGGCTAGATAAACTGCAGAAACATGGGCCAAGGCCACACATGCAACACCACAATGACGACTGATGTGAACAGCTTCGTTTCTGCTAGGGGTAAGCTTGCGCCGCTCTCGCGGTCGTGCAACCGTGCTCTCCTGCAGCGCGATCTCCACGATCTGAGCAGCAAAACAGGCAGCAAAAGACAGGGCTTCTTCGGGATGCTGCGTCGCTGCTGCGTGTGTGGGTTCTGCTGCCCTGCTGCCTGCAAGATGACGAAGACTGTGGAGGAGAGGACCCCCAAAATGAGGACTAGGTGGAGCCAGTCCTCTTCATGTAAATCGCAAGGTGATCCTGTGCACGCCGGAACGTCCTTGGCACTGCGCCAGCTGCTGGGCAAGCATGGGCAGCAGAGTCCGACGTTACCTGCATAGGGTGGAGTTAGCCACAACGCAGTCATTTCATCGTTCAGCTCTTGAGCTGAGCTGCAGGGGAAGACCCGCGAGTGGCACCTGACACGTCGCAGAAAAAGCTCCGCCAAGAGCGGGGAACATCCGTCCTGGTGCAACAAGCACCCTGGCAGCGACATCGCTCCGGCTGTCCTCGCCCGTGTATGCGTGTAAGCGTGTAAACAAAGTGGGTTTTGAGCACAGCTGTTGACGACCGGCCCGCGGCTGCACTCCCAAACGACGCCTCTGACTCTCTCGGAAAGCTGCTTGCAGCACTGCTCGTCAGTCCGAAGGACGAGGCCGACAAGGAGGTTGAAAGCGCCGCTCGTGAGGGAGCCCCTGCCGTGTGCAGGATGGCGCTTTGGCAGAACGGAGGAGCAGAGAACGGAGCGGAGCAGCAGCTCAGAAGTCGCGCAGCCGAGGCACCGCCCAGCTCAGCCATCTTTTATGGAAGGCCCCCGCCCCCTCGGCCCAGCCGGCGGCCGCTAGCGGGCGCTAGCTAAAGCTCTGATTGCCAGAGCCATGAACCGATGAACCGGAAAAATAGCTGCAGCCTGTTACAAAGCTCAAAGACTCAAAGGATTCCATTTGCGACACTTCGTCTGAGCAGCATCTCTTCAAATTCCCGGTCTCCTTGCGCACTGAGTTGGGTTCAGACCTCGCAGTCGCTCTTCTCGATTCTCTGTCTCTGGAATTCGCCATGCAGAGAATATTGAATAAGTATCGGGGGCAAAGTCGGGACATCGGCAAAGGTCTTTCCCGTTCGACCTGAATGGGAGAGATCCCGGAAGTATACTTGCGTTTTTGGAGCAAAGACCGGGGATTTAAACTTGCGTGTGGTCCTAGGGTCCACGTCTCTTTCTGCGCTTGCACAGGCATTGGCAACTCCACGATTCAGTCGTGGCGGAACCAGAGCGTCCCTCGCGCCGCCTGGGACGACACTACGTCGAATTGACGTTCTGAACTGCAGCTGCAGCTGCTGCAGCTGCTGCAGCTTTAGCCGCGGGCGCTGTACCGAAGGGGCATCTGGGTCATCAAATCCTCGCATACTTGGCCGCTAAGCCGCTATCTCTGAAGCTCTTCACTTGCCGCTCCGCCGCTCGGCCTGACCCAGCAAGGCCACAGGCCCATCGAAGTCCCCAATGGTCTCTTGCGGTTGCGACAGCAGCTCCTGCAACTCTGGAGGGAAGGCTTCTGCAGAGGTATACAACAGCTAACCTCATGTACGGGTGCCTGCATGCAAGGACGGATGCATGTATGCATGGATACGTGCGTGTGCGTGTGTTGAAACACAGCCCCCAGAGAGAGCCTACTTTACCCCATCGTGGCTCAAGACATCGGTGCTCTGCCAGGACAGAAGCGCTTCAGGACAACATGCCGCTGAAGCTTCAAGGTTACTTTGGTTTCGCAGTCGAGTGTGCTGCGTGCTACTGTAGGGTAGTTCGTGTAGTTGCCTCATAGAGTGCATTCTCTCATGGAGCGGAAGCGGCGGCTTCAAGGAAGTTTGGAAGCACAACATTGCACTAGGAGGTGAGGACTATCTTATTGGAAGCTTCTCCCGGCGGACAACCGGCAGGTTGAGAAGAATGGTGTGAGAGGTTGGCAAAACCAAAGGATATGAGAGTGGATTTTTCGCGGGGAACGGGTAGTGCACATATGCATACACACCCGAAACACGGGATCCTGGAAATAAATTTTAGCATACTATCTATCTGTCTATATATGTATATGTACACATGTATATACATATATATATATATACAGAAGGAGAGAGAGAGGGGGGGAGTGCATCGGAAAAACTATAACTGGAAGGAATGTGTGCATATCTATACATATATATATATATGGTCACTCCCCTCCCCCCCAAGATCTACGCCTGCAGGCTGCATACCATCTCATGTCTGTATGTCACGTGTACACTAGTCCTAAGTACAGAAACCAATGTAAATATCGATATAATCGCCTTATCGCCGAATACACAGGAACCGTGCCGCTACCCATCGTGTTTCGATACACCGTTAAATCTGCAGCCGATTTTCGGCCAACAAGAATAGCACGTCATGTACTCGGAAAGCCGAAACTGCTGGAAGGTGTCGCGCATCTTCTGCTGTGGTACTAAAAAACCTCGTGTTCTTGCATTTTTTGAGGTGGGAGCAAACTATAATCGCAAATCACGGGCACTGTGCATTTCTTTCGGCGATTGCAGGCTGCCTTCGCACATGCTCACATGTCACGCTACTACACCACTGACACAACCGGATCGAAACAGTGTATGTCACGATTTCCAAAACAACGTGTAGAATACCACCTATACATATGGTATACAATACACTCAATACACCCTATAGACTACACGCACTATACGTAAAGAAGCATGTTGTATATAGCGAAGATCAGGAGGTGCCCCAGATCTAAGAACTCCCCAGTTGAAGTGTGGCGTATTGAGAAAGCGTTCATATGAAGGAACTGCATAATGTAGGATCTAGGAACTCTCTGAACAAACCGAAGCACATTTAGTGAGGCATTTGTAAAGAGAACAGACTGCCTTATAGAATACCCCTATACATACCCTATAGAATGCCTTCTGGAAGCCATGAATATTTGTATATACCTGGAAGAACATCTGAAACAGCTGTAGACTTATACAAAACCACCTATATATGATACACCCCACACTCCTCATATCATACATACGCTGTAGGATGCCCTATAGATTTACACTATATAAATTACCGTATAATTTACCCCTTAGAATACCTTCTCTGTTTATCTTAAAGAAGTACACATAGAATACCTAACTATAGAATACATTAATTCCTTACTGAATACACTATAGCCTATAGAACACCTTATAATACAGCTTGAGGAATACGCCGTTAATACAATTTATTCGAAAGTTTATAGACCACCTTACAAAATACCACCTAGAATATCCTACAACATACTAGTACGTGACGGAATATGTAATACCCTGGGTATACTGTATTAGAGGAACTTTCAAACCCTGGAGTCCTGATTGCCTTTAAATCACACCTTAAGAAATAAGCTTAGAAACATTAAATGAGTTCTTACATCATAGGCTCCTACATTCCTTTACATAAGTTCCCTTACCTACACAAGCTTCGAATTATAACTGCAATCCTCCGATCCTGCATGCTTGATTTCTCTAAATAGCCCCTTTATCAAATAAGTCTCGATGTTTTAGAGGAATTCTTGGAGATCTCCTTTTAAACAAGTCCTTTATTCAAGAAGCTGCACTTCAATTGGGGAAGTCTGAGATCTTGGGCTCCTTCTGGTTCTCCCTGTGTATATATATATATATATATCCTTTATCTGGAAGGTGTTGTTTATGGTACTCAATTATGTAGGATACTCCAGGTGGTTTTGTAGAAAGTATATACGGAACATATAGCCGGCATTGTATAAAGTATTCTATAAGGTATTTGCAACAGGTCCGGTTGGTCAGCGATGATCGATCTTGTACATGCACACCTGTGACGTGCCTCTCGGCTCTACTAGGGGCCCCTTGTTCGTACAGGCGGCTAGCTGTCCGCCATGGCTACGATCGAGCGTTGAGCTCGCGACCGGAAAAAGGAGAGCTGTGAGCTCTTTGCGTCTGGAGCCCAATCATTTATCTACCGACTGCCGCTACTCTCGCTGCATTGGTAGCGGAGCAGTTCGATCCGGTGGCCAACTTCCTTCTGCACCACTGGTTACGTTCTGCTCCGAACAAGGACGACAGTCCCTGCAGCGCAAGCTTTCTTCTGGACCTGGACTGCGTCCGCCCGTTCTTCGACTGGACGGTTTTCTCCGATTTTCTATTCTTCTTTTCAGTTTTCCTTCAGTACGATGAGTGGTGCAAAGGAAAGATCCTTTGTCCCAAGCTGGGACGGCTCAGCTCGATCCTGGCGTCGCTACACTCGTGAGGTAGCGTGGTTTGTCCAAGGAACCGCAGTTCACAAGCGCAGGTACTGCGCGTCACAGTTGCTTGGACGGCTCACTGGTCCTGCTAGGCTTTTGGCTATGAGTTGGTCCAAGATGTTCGTGGACAATCGGTCTGGCACACGACTTCTTCTGCAGAAGCTAGCTGCTAGTCCCCTGGTCAGACGCAACCTCCCGAACGCAGCAGCTACCTGCTCTCAGTACTTTGCCTTCCGCAGGAATCACAATGAGTCTATCGGGAACTTCCTGGTCCGGGAGACGCTGGTCCACGAGGAGTTCGTCGAGGCGATCCTGAGGCTGTGGGAAGATCGTCAAGGAATCTCGCAAGAACAGCGAGACTTCGGACTTCCTGATGACGAGGAAGACTGGACAGATGATGATTGGCGCAGCTGGCCATGGTGGTCGTGGGGTGACGACGATCACCGTGATGATGACGACCATGAAGTATCTGGACCTGATCCTTCTCCCAGGGCTGCGGCTGATCTTCCTCCTGGCGACGATCCTCCTGCCGACGACGGACCAGCTCCTGCCGAACCTGCACGAGGTGCGACTGGCTCTTCACCGAGTCATCGAGCTGAGACTCCAGGACTTCTTGGTGATACGTCAGCGATTCTTCGAGAGACTAAGGAACCACAGGTCCTCGACGAGTTGACGCTGGCGGACAGCTTCATCATGAATGTTCTTCGAGGCTGGCGGCTCTTGCAGGCTGCTGGATTGTCGCCTGATGAGATGCGGGTCATACTGTCCACGACCAAGAATAGCCTGGACTTCGAAATGATATCTGCTGCTCTACAGAATCTGTGGGACGATCAACTGTTGAGCAGCCGCAACCGAGGAAAGCCCGGCTACTCAGCCTACACCGCGAACTACGTGCAGGAGCCGATGGAGTCCGACCTCTACTACCAGGACTCGTGGGAAGGTGATGGCGATCATTGGTGGGACGAGAGCTATGGAGATGCCTACTACGCGGACTATGACCACTACGCGAACCACGCCGGCTACGAGGACGGCTGGTGGACTGAGGATTGGACTCCACAGAAGATCCTGGAGTGGCGCATGCAGCTACTACGGAGGAGGCGGACGATGACAAGATCCGCGAAGCTCAGCAAGCCGAGAAAATGGCTGAGTCCCTGGCCTTGGAGGCCCAACGCACATGGTCTGAAGCGCAGCGAGCGACCCAACAGCTGCGCAAGGACCGTGGGTTCGGTGCCACTCCCGTTGGCGGACCGGCAAGGTGCTACAACTGTGGAGGACCTCATCTTCTACGAGATTGCCCTCGCCGTGGTGGTTCCTCCTTTTCGAAAGGTTCTGGAAAGCCAAAGGGCAAGTTCGGATATGCTGCGGACCTCGAGGCCTACTACATGAAGGGTAAAGGCAAGGGCAAAGGCAAGAACAAGGGCAAGAAGGGGATGTACATGGATGCTGATGCCATGTGGAAAGGCAAGGGCAAGGGACCGGACTGGTCCCAGCGATCGGTGAATGCCTACAATGCCGACCTCTTTGGCATGGAGCTCTCTTCTGTGATGGACCTGGCGACCTCTACCACCGCGGATGTTCAGCGACCTGAGCGTGGCATGGTAGACTGTGGTGCGACAGCCTCAGCCGCGCCAGAGGCTGTGGTGAAGGGGCTGATAGCCTCGATTCTCGAGAAGGACAGTGGAGCACGTGTGGACATCGATCAGAGTGCTCGGCCATACTTTCGCTTTGGTGACGGTCGCTGGGGCAGGGCTTTGTATCGGGTTCGTCTATGCAGCCATGTTTCGGGAAAGTCTAGATCCTTCTCGCTCTACGCCTTGCCAAACCCCAAGGAGTACTATCAGCTTGATTTCGACAAAACCACCTTAGTCCCAATCCTGATTGGCATGGACTTTCTTGGCAAGGATGGTTGTGGGATGCTAATAGACTTCACAACTGGGTTGGCTATGTGTTCCCATGAAGAACCTCCAGAAGCTGTTCAGCTATCACAAAATCGCAAGGGACACTTTCTGTTGGATGTGTGTGAGTACCTCACTCGTGGTCATGTCAATCGCGAGGCTCACGCTCATGTGGTCGTGTCTTCAAGTGCATGCGGTGCTGTCAGTTCAGAGATGCACGTGATCGAATTCCATGTTGTGCAGTTTGATCTAACCCGCAGTGACGCTGTGTATGAACAGTCTGAGCTGCAGAAGTCACGAGAGAGGCTTTGGCATCTTTATCAGTTGTCCAGACAACATCGTGGCCTACCTGCTGCAGCCAGTTCTTGCTCAATGCTCGCGACTTCGCAGTCGCTTGAGAACCCCTCGACTTCTTCTTCTCGGACTTCTGATCATGGCGTCTCCGGCGCCCTCGCACATCGACAAGGAGACGGAAGCCATTTTGGTGGCATCCGCCAAGGCCAAGACGGCCAAGAAGCGAGCCAACTCGCTCGACCCAGCACGGCGCATGAAGGCCGATCCTCGGGACCCAAGGGTGTCGGTCAAGAGCTGGCCATGCTTCGGTCAACACCATCCGGGACCACCCGGGGCCAATGCTCACGCCCAGTGCATTCACTGTCAGGTTTGCGACCTGAGGCTACTGTACACCCCTCGAAAAGGGTCACCTTCGAACGCGACTGTGGTGCACAATCCGCAGATGGTCAAGAGAATGCTTACCGAGCTGGAGGCGATGTTGGGAACGACGAAGCCTACAGCAAAAGTGTGCCACCACATGTTTGCCAAGATCACGGCCGAGGAGGTGCTCAACAAGGCGGTCCGCGAGCTGATCGCAACACCAGGAACGACCTCGACTACGACACGGAGGCCGACGACGCAGCGCGGGTACGCCACGAATGTGATGAACAACGACGAGGAGGAGTTGATTGTCGACTACGAGATCCCAGTTGTGGAAGAACCGTGAAGGCCAAAGACTTCGACTACAAGGTCAAGCCACTTGGGCAACATGTTGCCAAGAAGGTGATGGTTTTGGCGAGCTTGATGACTTCGGCGGTGACCTCTACACTCCTCGGTCTACGCCTTGATGGTCGAGATGGACTGTGGGAGATTGCCAGTGCCCCGCACAGCTGGCTCACCGAAGCCAGTGAGCAGCAGGGCATCCCCGCGAAGGCCATCAATTACCAGAACGGCTACGACCTCTATAAGGAGGAGACCTGGCGTCAACTTGGTGCTCTTCGACGACTTCATCAACCTCGGAAGCTATGGTTTTCATTGCCTTGCTCATCTGGGAGTCCATGGACCAAGGTCTCAAAGGGCGAAGCGGCGCACAGCGGCAATAGTGTTACCACTCGCCGACGGCAACGGCGACTACTACATCTGGCCCTGGACTTTGTCAAGGAGACCCTCCAAGAGGACCCCGAGGTCGACGTCTACTGGGAATGGCCTACGGACAACCACGGCTGGCGACAACCGGGTGTACTGCAACTGGAGCAATGGTTGCACGACCAAGGGTTTGAGTGGCTTGGATGTCGTGTGGATGGATGCAACTACGGGCTGCGACACCCGCAGGACTACGACTTCATTCACAAACGGTGGAGCATCTACACCACCGATGGGCGTTTTCATCGACGATTCCGAGCCAAGGTGTGTCCCGGCAACCATCGCCATTGTCGACAACCTGATGTTGATCTTTCCTTGGCTTCCTACTACCCGTGGCGATTGGTTGAGGCCATTGCCAAACATTGGAAGGATGATATGACGCCATCTCGACACCGACAGCTTCTCGCTCTTCGTCAAGATCTTCCGAGCCTTCATGGTGATGACCAAGCACTACATGAACAACAAGCGGTTCTGGAAGAACTATGTGATCCTCATGAACTACCACCTGATGATGGGTTGGACGATGAGCTGTCAATCAATCTCCTCACCGAGTCTGAGCGCCTACAACATGAACATCAATCTCGAGAAGCTCGGATGCGAAAACAGTTCGACCACTCCACTTGCGAACGTCTTCTACATCAACTTCATCTGGTGGCCAGGAAGACGGGTGTGCACCACACCCGTGGGACCGAAAGTGGAGTCAACAGCTTCCTCCTGGGTGCCTACTCACATGGAGCGTTCTGTGGTGTGTCAAAACTTTCGCTACGACTTCGTGAACTGGTGAAGTACTTGAATGCCATGTTCCGTCACCACCTTCCTGGGAAGAGATGGTCAAGCTTTATGGTTGCATTCAACAACAAGTGCCTTCCACACCGGGACTACCACAACAAGAAGGGCACAGTCAATATTCTGTTGTGTGTGGGCAACTTTCAACATGGCGGGCTTTGGCTACAAGGACAACCACCTGATGGACGCGCGACCACCAGGAGACTATGTGGAAGCAACCGCTACGAGAACGGCTATGTCATGGATACCCGACATCAACTTGTCATCTTTGATCCCATGGTGACCCACGCCACTCAATCCTGGAGTGGACTTCGAATCAGCATCAGTGCATATACTACTCGGCTGGCAGACAACTTGTCTGCTGAGGACCAGCAGATGATGAACGATCTGGGCTTCCCCACACAGGTGCGACAAGGTGCTGTTGCACAAACCCCAGAGCTGCTGAATCAATCAGAACTTCATCCTCCTGCAGGTCCCCATGATGATCTACATTCACAGACCCCAGAGCTACTGAATCAGTCAGAACTTCATCCTCCTGCAGGTCCTTGGTCTGGGTTGTTAGCAGTCAATACCACAGATGGGCAGATACCTGAAGGGGTCACCAAGGTCGAGTATGAATCCTGGGAAGCCAAGATAGCCAAGTACCATCGCGCAGCTGGTCACCCCACAAATCGGAATCTGGCTAGGATCGTTTCGGATGGTGGCCATGCTGACTGGAAGGTACAAGTTGCTCTACATCACCGGTGTCCAGCATGTGAGTCACTTCAAAGGGGCGGAACAAGCGCAGGTTCCATTCCACCAGCTTCTACCACACCTCTGTGCAAGGCCTGGCAGACTGTGGTGATTGACGTTGCTGAATGGATCATCCCGGCCACCAAGAAAAAGGCCAAGTTCGTGCTCTTTATGGACTATGCCACCAAACTACGTGTGGTAGCACCCCTCAAGATCTACAACATCACCGTGATGGACGCTGAATCTGCTGAGACGGTTATTCACTCCTTTGCTGAGCGGTGGCTCAGTGTGTTTCCACGACCAGAGGTTGTGATCATGGATGCGGCCAAGACCTTCACATCAGCCAGAATGCATGAGTTCCTCTCCTCAATCAACATCCTGCCGCACTTCATTGCTGAGAAAGAACATTGGAGTCATGGAGTTGCAGAAGCTGCCATACAGGATGTTAAGACAACAGCGACGGCCATACAGCTCGAGGCGAGAGAACAGGATCCCTATGTTACTCTACACCTTGCAGCGGCAGCTCTCAATGCCACAGAGTACACTGCCGGATTCTCCTCCTTTCAATGGGCGCAACTACAACATCTCTGACGAGGACCAAAGGACCTTTGCATCCCTGCCTGATGATCCTGGCCGGGACTTCGCTGAACTGGTTGCTGCCAGACAACGGGCGGAGGAAACCGCTCGAAAGACACGCTCCCAACGGGTGCTGTCCAAGCTGTCCAACACCACTGCGAGACAACCACTACGACAATTTCATCCTATGGACTTGGTCAAGGTGTGGCGTAAGCAGTGGCCAAAAGAAGTTCATAGTGGACCCAGAGGAGGGCTAAAGGTTTCCGGACGTCCTCACTGGGTTGGTCCTGGTCGTGTGGTCTTCCACGAGATTCTGCCACACCAGACTGCTGAAGATGATCGTCGACATATCCTGTGGGTGATCATTGGAGCGAGACTGTATCGCTGCTCAGCCCACTCTGTACGATTGGTGACCGAGGCAGAGCGATTTGCCTACGAAGCATCTGGTGAGGAAAAAGTGGATCGCTGGAAGGACCTCACCGACATTCTTCCTCGACGAGAGTATCACGACATCGTGGATGAGGAGCCTACCGAACAGGATGTGGAGCTACCGGATCTACCGCGTCAACCCGATGACTCCACCATCCAGGTACCTACAAGGCGGGTGCGACAAAAGACCAGCTTCCGACCTGGTGACTACCAGGACAATCCAGTCCGCGACCGATTGGTCACAGAGACGGTGAATGACTACGGCGAGGACGATAATGGAAATCAGCCTGGAACTTCATCGACCACACCCACCAGACCTTTGACAACTTCCGAGGAATCCTCATCCTCCAAGCGCCAAAAGCAAGATCTTCAAGATGAACCAGATGATGAGGCACTTTATGCACAACCAGCATGGGTTGAAGACCTCTACCTGGGCGCGGCTATGGAGGAGAAGGAGATGGATCTCTACTCGGCGATGGAAGAAACCCATGAGTTCCTCAAGCTGGAGTTCGAATTGGGATTCCTGAACTCCAACAGGCAGCGAAAAATGCTTGAGAGAAACCCTCAAGCGTTTCTGGTGAAGAAGATGCGGGACTCTGAAGTGGTGATCACTCGTCTTCCCCACCATGAACGAGTTCTCTTCGAGAGGGCAAAGGTGAAGGAAGTGAGCTCTTTCATTTCCAATGAGGCGGTGCGGAAGTGTCTGGACTCCTCGGAAATCAAGGAGGCAATGGACTCCAAGCGGATCATCAAGGCCCGATGGGTTCTCACATGGAAGCTGATACCTCCAGAAGAGCAGACCGAGGCAAAGAAAGACGCGTCGGACAATCCCAACACTACAAGTACCACCGACGGCACTCGCAAGGCCAAGGCAAGGATTGTTTTGCTCGGCTTCCAGCATCCTGGACTTCTTGATCGACAGTATAAAACCTCGGCACCAGTGCAATCCACAGCTGGGCGGAACCTCCTGTACCTCATGTCTTCATTCCACCAGTGGGAGATTGAAGGACTGGACCTAGCGACGGCCTTTCTTCAAACGCAGCCTACAGAGGCCGATTCTCAACTCTGGACTCTGGACCACGGGAGTTGAGGAGTTGCGACAGGCGCTTGGCATTGGGCCTGAAGGGATCATGCGGATTCTTCGAAACATCTACGGTTCTACCACTGCACCTCGAGGACTCTGGTTGGACCTGCATAAAACCCTTACGGCCCTGGGTGCCAGTCCAGTGTTGGCAGAGCGCTGTATGTGGGTCTGGAAGTCCAATGACAGAATGGATGGAAAACACCCTCAAGTCATTGGTGCAATGGGTGGTCATGTAGATGACTTTCATCGTCTTGGTGATGGCAGTCCAGAGTGGATTGAAGTCAAGGCCAAGGTGGACTCGGCCTATAAATGGGGCATGATCAAAAAGCGCAGCTACAGACACGCTGGCACCGACGTGTCGACGGAGACGGACGGCGATGGCTTCCACATCGAGATTGACCAGTCCTACTACGTGGAAACCGTGCCGGACATCGACATCGAACCCGAACGGCTTCGAGAAAATGGAGTGCTGAACTCCAGGGAGGTCGGAGCCTGCCGTGCCACCCTTGGAAGTCTTCAATGGTTGGCAGTGTCTACGCAGCCCCAGCTATGTGCCAGGTGCAATATCCTTCTGACGGAGGTGGTGACCAACGGCCAGCTATCACATGCCCGGGAAATCCAGGACATGCTTGGAGAAATGAGACGCCATGCTTTCCGACTCAAGTTCTACGCCTTCCCTACGGCAAAACACTGGTCTGAACTGGTTTTCATCACGATGGGAGACCAGGCTCATTCAAACCGGCCCAAAGGCGACTCTACGGGCGGAATGATTTCTTTGGTGGCTGGCCCTGAATGTCTTCAAGGCCGAGTTTGCAGAATGTCCATCCTGGCATGGAAGACGTGGAAGCTACAACGGAAGGCTATATCTTCCAACGACGCAGAAGTGCAAGCGATCCTGGAGTCTGAGGACCAGAACTTCAGACTACGTCTTGTCTGGACGGAGATGCATGGTGCGGGAAACCGCAGTGACCCTCGCGAGCCGCTTGTGAAAGCGGCAGAGACTCAGGCCATGCAGGTCAAGGGCGTTCTTTGCACAGACTCCAGAGGCGGCTACGATGCGGTGGAAGTCAATGAAAGTCCTCTACTTGGGCTAAGCAACCTTCGAGCTGCTCTTCAAGCCTTTCAGCTACGTGAAAATCTTCGTCGTGTTGGCTGTGAACTTCGCTGGATGGCCTCGGACTACGATCTTGGTGATGCTCTGACTAAGAAGAAAATGGAGGCCAGATTGGGCCTCATCAAGTTTCTGTCGACGTGGCTGTGGTCGATTGCTTTTGATCCCAGCTTTACGAGCGCCAAGAAGGCCAAAGCTCAAGGGCGGAGTGCTATAAACACGATTGATGACTATCTAGGAAATGGCCCGGTAGAGCCCCTGCTTGCAAATCCGTTCATCGCTGAAGAAGTTTTGAGGCCGTGCAACAGGTCCGGTTGGTCAGCGATGATCGATCTTGTACATGCACACCTGTGACGTGCCTCTCGGCTCTACTAGGGGCCCCTTGTTCGTACAGGCGGCTAGCTGTCCGCCATGGCTACGATCGAGCGTTGAGCTCGCGACCGGAAAAAGGAGAGCTGTGAGCTCTTTGCGTCTGGAGCCCAATCATTTATCTACCGACTGCCGCTACTCTCGCTGCAGTATTTTATGGATTCGATGTCCGTATGGTATTCCGTGAAGAGGTTTGCAGAAGTTGTATTTTACGAGGAATACTAATCTCTCTATAAATGCATCCCTTACTGAAAAGGCCCCGATTTTTCGAGGAATTCCTAGATCCCAGATTCCAGCTTTCTTTCATATAAGCTTCTTGCTTAATAGGCTACAACTTAACTAGAGAATTCTCAACTTATTGGGCTTGGACTCCTCCTGATTGTTCTCTATACATCCTTATATATTTAACATATTCTATATGGTGTTATATATCATTTAAGCGTATACAAAGGGGCTATCACATATAGAAGGTATTCCACAAGGTAATCGATAAAGTATTCCGGATGGTCTTCCATGTGTCCAGGGATCTATAGTGTAGCTGCTAATTAAGTAATCCCCTGATTCCTGAAATATATTCCTTGGTCTCTGCCCCCATGTCTTGGATTCAAGGGTTCCCTTAGTCCACGAAATTCCCGTATCTCTGGCTCCATGTCCTGCATTTAGGGCTTCCCTAATTGCCTAGATTTTCAGATTTGCAGGCCCCAAGATTCCAGATTCCAGATTTGCGCGGTGCAAGATAGAGATTCCAGATTTCCAGATTTGCGCAGCCTAAGTTTCCAGATTCCAGATTTGCAGGCTCTAAGTTTCCAGATTTCCAGATTTGCAGGCTCTAAGTTTCCAGATTCCAGATTTGCAAGCTCTAAGTTTCCAGATTCCAGATTCCAGATTTCTGGAAATCTGGAAAACCTTAGAGTGAACAAATCTGGAATCTGGAATCTCTGGTTTCAAGATTCCTGATTTCTGGAAATCTGGAAACGTTAGGGTGAGCACATCTGTCTGGAATCTGGAAACCTACGTACTGCCGAAAGCCGGAAATCAGGAACTCCAGGATCTGGAAACTACAGATGTAGATCTTTGGGGGGGGGGGGGGGGCGAGCATATATATATATATATATATATATATATGGTACCCAGCCCCCCCCCCCAAAGACCAAGGTTTCTATATGAACTTTAGATACAAGCCTACTTACACTAGCCGATAGTCGTTGGTCTTTGGGGGGGCAGGGTGCCAATAACAACCCTGTTAAGGTGTAGGGTGTAGGGACAAACATGCATGACGCAACCCCCTTGTGGTTTTCATACAAGCCTGCATACAATAGTCCTTATACCATTTCCCGTCGCACATTCCAGGAGGCCTATTGAATTCAATAGGCCCTATTGAATTCAATAGGCCTTCTGGATTGAAGATTGAAGATTGAAGATGCCCTCAAAAAGTTTCCGGGGAGATCTTCAATCTTCAATCTTCAATCCGGGAGGCCTATTGAGTTCAATAGGCCCTATTGAATTCAATAGGCCTTCTGGATTGAAGATTGAAGATTGAAGATGCCCTCAAAAAGTTTCCGGGGAGATCTTCAATCTTCAATCTTCAATCCGGGAGGCCTATTGAGTTCAATAGGCCCTATTGAATTCAATAGGCCTTCTGGATTGAAGATTGAAGATGCCCTCAAAAAGTTTCCGGGGAGATCTTCAATCTTCAATCCGGGAGGCCTATTGAGTTCAATATGCCCTATTGAACTCAATAGGGTTTATCTTGAAATCGATCATGAGGGCCGTACGTGGAAGTGTGAAAATTGGGTTCAGGGGTCAAAGTCTACCGCTGCGTTTGCGTACTTTGGAGTACACGCATATGGGTTTTAAGGGCTATGAAGAGAAAGTCATCAACTAGACGTATGATACTACCTTTAAGCTTCCCTAAACGTATTCTTTTGATTTACGCCCAGCTTAATATCAGATAACACTACTAGTTTTATGCAACAAATGCAGTTGGAATACTAAGAATATAATCGAGGACTCAATCTATCGAACTGTATACTACTGAGGTATCAAAAGCACATACTTTAACGTCCATGTAGCTAGCAATCTATGCATGAATGTATATGTTCGATTCAATTATTGGAAAGACTACTAAATGCACCGTATTATGATAATACTTGGAACTGATTTGACATAAGTAAATACACACTCCGCCTAAATAGGTCCGAGGATCTGGCCTATCCAGCTGTTTGCGTACTCATATAAGTATAACGTGGTCCGTACAGGCACTACTGTGAATATATTGCTCTCGGAGATCTAATCGGCAGACAACAAACCCTCTATGCTGTTTATATATGTAAATCTGACGATTGTTAGCTCAGCAAGCCCTATGCTTGAATTGATCCGAAGATTCAATTCAATATACCCAATCATCTATGTTTCAACACACAGAATAATCATGTTTCTGCAGCCAGTAATCCGTATAAGTATGTCAGGATTCCTGGGTGTAGTGATATCATATGAAGCATTATAAATATAGTTTTCTGTCTGTTCGTGTTAACTGGCAAGGCACTTCATGAATAGCTTAGTTGTAGAGAGATTTCTTCAGGCTGCTTGGCTCCTATTCAAAAGTATAGCTTCCAAGGTTCTACTATACTGCTACGATTAAGCAGCTATCTGGGTAAATGAATCTCAAGCCATAATATTTGCAATTAGCAGTTAACAGACCCTGTAAATTCGATTGTATAACCAATTGCTGAGTACTTAACCTTATTTTTCCAAGAAAGAAATGGTGCATGCTAAATAACTGTTCCTCGTATTGCCACACTGGGTATCGGTGATGGTCTTGTTCCCATCTCAGCCATGCGTCCTGGGAGGTAGACCGATCGTGGAGCGATTTGGGGGCTTCTCGTCCCGAAAGTCGAAGTGGAAGGTGTAGTCAGGCAGTGAAAGAGTTTCTTGTTGTTGTGAAGGCATGGTGGCAATGAATAGTCGCGTGTTGTGATCTGGGGTTGGAGCTCGGGGCCAATCGGATTGTGGAGTCGATGCCATTCTCCGTCGAGTCGCCAATCAAGAGACCAAGGTGTGAGACGAGGTAATCGTTCCTCGATGATGTTCCAAGGAATCGAGGTCCACCACAGTCGTTTCCGATGCATGATGCCTGCGTCCGCCGCGTCGATGACTATGGGGTCCATGCTCAAGGGTAATGTCAATTCCATGACGTCGTCGCGTACATCGGGGTGTGGTAGCACATTCTCGAAGATCGTCTCGATGGGAACGCCAATGAAGCGTTTTCGAAGTTGATGTTCGATGCCGCGACCATGTGTCGGAACAGCCAACCTGATGTGCCGTCGGAGCCCTTGGGTCGGCTCCGTATGTTGGAAAAATCCGGGCACGGAGGGCCTGCCGTGATGACCATGATGTACTGCTGATTCTGTGTCGTGCTCTCGATTTGTTTTGCAACGGTTTCGAGGTCGAAGTGTTCGACGTCACCCATCTGAATCGAGCCAAAGTGTTTCGAGGTGAACTGCGCGCAATCGTGGTCGATCTCCCACGCCAGTGTAAGGAGGATGTTCCCATTGATGCGTCGAAGTGCCTCGGAGGCTATCCCAATACCATCGAAGAAGGACAAGTGCACCACCGGCAAGGTGCCGACCAGTTCGTAGCAAAGTGTACAGACTCGGTCGTGTGGTTCCGTCAATCGATGGTCGGCTCCAGGGTCGGATGACCCTGGGCCGTGCTGTCCCTATTTCTTGCCGGTTTTACCGGCCTTGCCCTTCTTCCCAGCACCCTTCGAGCCCTTCTCGCCTTTCGGGGTCCAAGGAGGTCGTTGTAATACTTGTGGAGCCGGGTTGAAGGGGAGTGTCGGAGCGGGAATCGGCGTAGAGAAGCTCGATGGTGTTGGTGTCGTCCATGAGTGTGTAGGCAAGGTCTGCCATGATGACATCGAGTGTGTGTTCCACGTCTGTGTCGGTGGTTGCCATGGTCGCGAAGGAGTCGTCGTGGTAGTCCAGGTTTGTCGGTATCGACGTCCCTGTCCAGGGGGTGACCATTTCTGCTGGTATCCCTTCCCTTTGCCTTTATAGGGTTGCTCGGAGCCTTTGCCGAATCGGGGTCGTTTGTGTAGAGGCTGCTGCATGACATCGTTGACTCGAGTAAGGTCGTTCATAAGGTCCTCGGTGATCACCTGGAATGTTTCGTTGGATCGCATTCGCATAGCGATGTCCCACGAGGACTCTTCCCAGAGGCTCTTGACGTTGTTGATTCGCTGTGAATGTTTGCGTACCAGTCGAATGAACCAGTCGACGTACTTGTTGACGACCGTCTCGGAGGCATACTTGATGAGGATCCATGCCCATCGGATTGCCTCGATCGCGTCGATGAGCATCCATTGTCCTCGGACGTCCCATTCTTCGTGTGATTTCTCGGTGATATTGTTGCGTTCGTCGAGGACCAATTTCTTTTCGTTCGTGTCTTTCTTTCTGGTCGAGTTGATGGTGTTGAAACTCGTCCATATTCGCTGTGATACAATCTCACCCAGGGCTGTGGCGGTGTACATCTTCGAGGTATGATGCTCGTGGTACATCCGGGCGAGGACCTTCTCCGCGCCCACCAGGTTCTTCTCGGGAAATTGGTCCTCGACGAGCTTGTTGTAGACACCCGTCGACCGGGAGTGTCTTGGGAACGATGTCCTTATCGGTGTTCGAAGATGAGGTAGTCGGAGGTGCTGTCGGGGAAGCCGTGGGTGTCGGCTGAGTCGTGGCTGCGTGATATGCGTGTCGTGCTGACTGAGTGAGTACCATCCACTGGGCGGTGAGGGCGTCCTCGTCGGTGCCATCCGCGAGTTTGAATTCAACGCCCCCAGCCGTAGCACCTGTTCGAAGTTTCGTGACCAAGTCCTTGATGCTTGCGTCGTCTTTCAGGTATGTGCTCACCGTGGCGTGTGATTTGAGTCCAAGTTTTGCGAGGTATCGTGCCACCACGTCCGTGCTCAAGTCGATGCCGGCCAAGTC